AAGTACTTTAAAGTGTATAAATAAGTTACCCGGGCAATTGATTTACGTCAGCCAATCAGACGAATGTCTGACTATGACACTCATACTGTATATAAATATATGTGACATCTTCTCTGGCTGATAGGTACATTACGAACTTGCCTAATCATGAAGTGTTTTTTAAAACTTCTAGTGAATTTTTCTCAATACCTGCTTGATCAAATTCAGTAAATTTTTTTATTTTAATTCTATAGTTTAGTAGAATTAAAATAAAAAAAGTTTATTGAATTATATTTAGTGGCTAGCGAGAAACCATCACCAAAAGTTTTTTAAAAAAAACTTAAAATACTTAGAAAAAAAACTAAAATCAGTAAATTTTCTTTGAACTTCAAACGAAGATTTCTCGACAACCTGCAAACCAAATTTTGATGATTTTTTTTTCTTTATGAATTTATAAAATTAAAATAAAAAATTTGATCGAATTTGTATAACTGGTTATCGAGAAATCTTCATTAAAAGTTAAAAATAAAAAAATTTGTTGTACACTTCTTTTCTTGAAATTTTTAAAAAACTTTAAGCAAAGGTTTCTCGACAACCTGCTATCAGAATTTGATGAATTTTTTTTTATTTTAATTCTGTGGATTCATAGAATAAAATAAAAAAAAAGTTCGAATTTAGATGCTGGTTATCGAGAAATATTTATTAGGAGTTAAAAAAAAATTTGACCGCAGCTCCTTTTTATAGGCGCCTAAACTTTGAACGAAGATTACTTGGCACTTACCTGATCAAATTTGATAAAATTTTTTTATTTTAATTACATATGTGTTCATGGATTTAAACAAAAAATTTTGATCAAATTTGATCAGGTAAGTGCCGAGTAATCTTCGTTCAAAGTTTAGGCGCCCAAATTTTTTTTTTTAACTTTTAATGGATATGAATTAAAAAAATAAAAATAAAAAATTCATCAAATTCGGTTAGAGGTTGTTGAGAAAACTTCGTTTAAGGTTCAAAGAAAGAAAATTTACCCGATTTTAGTTTTTCCATTTTGTTTTTTTAAAAACTTTTGGCGATGGTTTCTCACTGACTACTAAATACAATTCAATGAGCTTTTTTTTATTTCAATCCTACTAAACAACAGAACAAAAATAAAAAAAATTTACCGAATTTTATAAAGCAGATATTGAGAAATATTCGCTTAGAAATTTTAAAAAACACTTCGTTTAGAATGATATATCCCGTGATTATCCGATAATCATCGATTATCGAGCAATTAGAATTATAAGAATTATATAGAGTCGCCCAAAACTACGATCTGAAAATTCCGGCCAAACACATGGGCAGAAATTTCCAGTTGGAGCGCTGTGATTAGGTGATAACAAAAGTGATAGTCATATGACATTTAAACTGCATATAAAAACTCATACATCAGTGATCCTGATTTAGGTTAATTTTGGGTTATTCTAGGATCACTACTCATAAATGGGATATAAAAACTCATAAGCAACTCATAAGCAATTAATAAGCAATTTTACGATCACTGATCAAATCATCACTATAATCTCAGTAATCACACCATATTTTATATTTTATTGGCCTAGAATCTATTTAATCTCATCGTTCAACCTATATAATCACAAAAATTGGAAATTTCCGCCCATGTGAAATTTAAGAATTGACATTAGCCGGAATTACAATGGCGTAGATCTTAAATTCAGGCCAAAAATTTAAAAATGATCGCCATTTTTATGAGCCCATTCCGGATTTCTGCGGTATTCCGTGCAACGCATGAAATCACTGACCCTGCTGGGGCATGCCTATTTTATTACCCGCGCCCACAAACCTAATTTAGAATGTTTACATCTTTATATTGCGTAGAAAAAAGTGTCAAACACCTCGCGTTTTGTCCTTCACGTTAAATAGGTTAGTATGAGAATGAACGATTATTTATTATATCAGAATATACACATAATAAATTTATATCATATCGGCGGATTTTTGGAATTTACTATTGAAAATTCCAAAATTATTTAACAGTGAATAACTTTTGATCCACTGGTCCGTTTTCGACAAAACAATTACCAAAATGTTCGTCTCTGTGAGACGATTCTAATAGACACAAAATCGTCAAAATCCAATCACAGAACCCCGAGATCGATAGAGATTTGCGTCACTTCGGGTGTTTTAGGATTGGTTAAACCAATCCTAAAACACCCGAAGTGAAACAAATCATCAAATATATCGGGATCCTGTGATTGTATTTTGGCGATTTTGTGTCTATTAGAATCGTCTCACCGAGACGAACATTTTGGTAATTGTTTTGTCGAAAACGGATCAGTGGATTAAAAGTTATTCGCGGTTAAATAATTTTGGAATTTTTAATAGTAAATTCCAAAAATCCGCCGATATGAATAAAGTAAAAAGAATTTAAAAAAAAAATAATATAATTTTTTATAAAATTTTGTCTAACTTTGATGCAGTGGTCTAAATTGAATTATTTTGGTACTTTTCGATTCATCTCAATGAGACAGATCCAATAGTACCAAAATTATTTAATTCGGATTATTGGATTATAAAGTATTTGCAAAAACTATTGATTATATATAAATATATAGATTTTAAAAAGTTTTTTTATATAGTCTAGGAGTCAAAAGCTCCGAATATAATGTAAATTATGGATGCCCCTTATTGAAAAAAGAAAAAATTTTACTATTTACAAAAAATTAGCTAATAAATAACACCTCTTTGCAAAATATAAACCAAATCAAGATTTTATTTTTATAAAATATATATATACCATTTTTAATCTTATAATAAACAAATTTATTTAATAAATTCTAAAATATTTTATTTAAACCAATTTTGGTAATAAAAATCTATTAAAATTTTTTAGCCTATAAATTTTTTGTCAGTTTTTCTCTTTTTTTATAGCACTTAGCTTATCTGAAATTAAGGTTTTCAATTATCGGTTTTCTTTTTTATTCCAATTTTGTTTGCATTTATTAATAATTCAGCAAAAAACGAAACACAACATAAAAAAAAAAACACAGTATCTAATTTATAATTTATATAAAAATGAACCAAAATCATGTAACAGAATTTATTCTCTCGAATTATAGAATATTTTATATGACAAATGGAACTTAGCGTTAGGCAATAATCCTGGCAATTTTTCTAGCAAATTCAATTGTATCCCGAATAGTAAATATAACTTCTTCTTCGTCAAAATGCTGCATTGGTGATTTGTCGATATTTTCAACTTGCCGCCAAGCAAGATTTTTAACAGAAACAAATTCTTCCTTCGAGAATTTACCTTTCATATCTTGACAAATGATTGCGCAGGTAACTTGAAATTTATCATTGCTTTTAATTGATATAAATAATACGAATTAATTCGAGGTATTGTATTCGACGTTAAGGAATACATATATACTTAAATTTTATTTTACCTATATCTGAGTTTCCTAACTGTCTGCCTGACACCAACACAGTCAATAAATTTAGTAAAATCTTTTTCATGGAAGTACATTTCATCTCCGTTATCGGTATAATTAATGGACTGAAGATCTTGAATTATCTTCTCCAATTTATTATCAATATGATGATTACATTGAGTTTTTAACAAAAACCTCAAATCGGGCCGTTGAGATCCGGATACGAAGTCCATGATCGCTATTTGTTAAAGATTTTTTTTAAAAGTTCGATAATCTATATTCGCAATTAATGCTCCTCGTTTATGATTATCACCTACCATGACGTCGGATGTCTTTTACGGCTTTAGTCAATTCCCATAATCCTTTATCCGCATTCCAGTGTAATTTAAATTTTCTTTTTTTTTCATTATGCGAGTAATAAACAGTAATGCTTCCTTTATTTCCAGTTATTGCTTCTGGCTTTTCTTGTAATCCAAATTTCTTTTGAATTATAGGCATTTTTTCAATGATTTGTGGTGCATTGTGTTGAAACGACGTACTTAGGCGAAATTTTTGGTTCCGTTCAAACCCGCACCAATCGTGAACGTCAAAGTTTAGATCCTTAATTTTATCAATTCTGGTAAAGAGCTGTCGACCAAAAAATATGTTGAGACGTATTTCTTTTCCCTCTGGAAATGTGGGATCGGCATCAGAAATTTTCGAAGATATGACTTCTAAACATTCGTCAAGTTTGTCGGAGGTTGTAAAGTCCCCAGTTTTGAGTGATGGAAGTAAGATGCCATGACGTAGTTGATTCGCCAGATCATCCATAACATCGTTCACTTTGGATGTCTTTTCTGTTTCTTGAATTCGTTCCACGAAATACTTCTTCAAACCTCGTGAATGTTCATTAGCGTCATCTCCCTTAAATTCAACAAATCGGTAATTGGCTTCTTTAACATCCGTCAACTCATCTACCTCCAACAAAACGTAACCGATAGTCGGAATGACTGTTAATCTTTCAAGAGATTCTTGGATTAAAGATTTGGCTTGGCTGCGCTGTGAGGGTGTGCCTTGGATCTTGGCTATGTGCTGACCACTACCTGACTCTATAAAAAAAATCTTTGCACCGGATTTCTCTCTACCATGTATAATGATAACGATAATTAATATAGATTAAGATATTAAGACAATTATGGGCAATTTACTTTATCTTATTGATATTAGCTCCTTTTTTCCCAATTAAAAAAGGAATTTTATCCGATGGAACGTAAAATTTTTCATCTTTACGTGTATCCTGAAAATTTGACATTATTTTATATTTCGAAAGTTAATGTTACGAATGATGCTTCAATTTATTCTTCGTTCTATTACTTTTAAGATTACGCATGTATTCAAATATGGGTTGAGATTTTCCTATTGTAGTTTATCAGTTAACAATTACTTTTAACGAAAACAATGACCAGGTCACTTGTTCAAAGATGTGGATCACATGATTATCGCATGATTTGCGACATGCTGCGGTAAGAACTGAATCTATATATACTGAATAAAAATATACGATCATTTATCTAGTATGCCTAAAACTTCTTCAATTTTGCTATATTTTTCACGTGGTTTATGCTTTTGTTTTCCTGCTTCAAATTCCTTTTGTTCTATTTTTTTCCAATCGACATATGACACGGTGCGTACACCACGTTCATGAAGAATTGGTATGATTGCCTTTGCGCCCCTTTTAGGATAGTTATCAGTGGTATCAGAAAGCATTGGCTTATTTTGTTGAATATCTGACACAATTATTTCTGCGGTTTCGAAAGCATCATACATTGTCGTAGAGATCACACCCTGTGGACCGCGTTTAAGCCATCCAGATACATAAAGGCCAGGAAGCTTTATATGTATCGAATTTTAATTTAAAAATTTTACACCATCAGAACGGTATCAAACATTATTATAATCGAAATGGCTTTCTAAAGTGACCATCTCAACATACCTCATTACCACTTTTGTCCACTACTTTGCCTTTGATATTAGGCACTAACCCTTTTTTTTCATCAAACGGCACACCCTCCACAGGTGTACTTTTGTATCCAACACTCTTAAATACCAGGTTCGTTTCTATTTCTTCCATAACACCGGTGGGAACAGCTACCCGATTGTCCGGTGGACCCTCAAGTTTGTTGATGTGAAATTTAACCGCTCTGATAAATTTTGGTTGAGAGGGATCGCCGTTATCACGTGTTATAAATTCGGCTGGACTTCTCAAAAATTTAAGAGACCATGATTTTTCGCCAACGGTTTTAATTGTACCACTTTCTAAAATTTGCATTAGACGTTTTAATGGGCGATTTTGGGAAATAAGCTCTGTGTTCTCGGAAAGTTCCGTTTTCACTAATTCAGTATCAGTATGAAATCGAGTATTAGGTAAGTGCATCATCTCACGAAGCTCTTTGGCCGTGAAAGACACCTGAATTTGCAGCAAATCATAATGGAAGCAAATTATATGATTTTATGTCTTAAAAAGATTATTCCATAAAATGCATCCTTATATTATCAAACAAAACCTGTAAAGGTCCTCTTCTTCCAATGAGTGTAATATTACGTATTCGACTTGTTCGGAGACATTCTAGGGCATATTCGGTAATGTCGGTTTTGCTTAATTCATCAATATCTGTTAATAATATCCTGGCAACATCTAATGCCACATTCCCGTGACCAATTATCATAGCACTGTCTGAGCACGTAAGGACAGGCTGTAAATCTCGATGTTGCGGAAGACCGTTATACCAGCCAACAAAAGCGCGTGCAGAAAACACGCTACGGATAGAATCATCCTCATTTTTAATGTTAAGTCGTTTATCCTGACTAGCACCATACGATAAAACGATAGCATCGTAATGTGATTTTAAATCGGCAATCTTAAGTTCTTTACTAAATTTTACATTGCCAATGAAAGTAAAACGAGCATCACGTGCAACTTCATCAAATCTATTTTGAACATTCTATTGAATAGGTTATTCACAAATACGTAGACGACTTTTTGAAAGCTCTGGAAATTCCTTAAATACCTTGACTTCTGGGTGATCGGGCGCGACTCCATAACGGACCAATCCAAAAGGCATTGGTAGCGCTTCATACATATCCACCAAAGAGGATGGGTGTTCTTTCAACATGTGGTAGGCTGTATAAAAACCAGCCGGGCCGCTCCCAATTATTGCCAGTCGAAAAGACGCAGCGAAAGTCGGATTCGTTGAATGTGAGAATTTGTGAACTTTACGTAATAAACACTTTGATATGATATTTTTACCATATTCACAGTTCAGCAATGGCCAAAATTTAAACGAAGGTTTAAATATATTAATACGTCTCGATGTTATCGTTATGGGGTTATACATTTAATTAAAAACATAAATCGATTGCTTAACTTTTTTTTAGACTTTTAATTCTGGCCAAAATTACTATAGTTAACTTTCGCAACAGTCACATCATAATCGCGCTATAGTCACGTTAATTTTTTTCCCAACTATACGTATCTGATATAATACTTGCAAAACTACAGTAACAAAAAACTTTGAGCAATGATATCTTGACAGTAAGTTTAATAACGATGAGATATTATAGAATATTTATTAAAATACAATATAGCAGTTATGGTAGTATAGAGCATTGGCAGAAGAAAAAAAAAATTGTTATAAAAATGCAGTATTTAATACCACCTTTGTTACGTTTTTTAAAAACTGGCTAATTAATCTGTATGCAGTGCTCTAAGTAAAAATGCTCTACATTCCAAAAACTCTTCCCGAGTGTGTTTATAATAAATGTTTTAATAATTATATAGCGCCAAAATTATTAAAAATACATTATAATTCATCAAACAATAGAAAACTCTTAAAATATGTACTTTTGATAGCTCTTATCAAAAAAAATCAAACTACGTAGGTATTCTTTCAAATAATTTGATATTTAGCTAATTTAATTTTTTTAAGCGGTTTTAGTAATTTTTTGCTTGTAAGATTCTGTTTTATCGGTGCTAAACTTGAAATATCATTTTTTTCCAAGCTTGCTTTGTAATGTTCAAAAATCATAGATTTAATTTTTTTCTCATCCGATAAACATTGGATACTTAAAAAGAAATCATCATCCAGTATTGAATATGGAATCAATAAGTCGTTCGACAAATTTGACTCTCGTATATCATCATCGTTGTAATTATCTTGATTGGTTTTGTCGAACTGTAATGATCGTTGATATTTAAGAAGTTCATGAATCGTTAAGCTCCTACCTTTTTCTATCTCGGTATTGTTTGAAAGTGTCTTACAATTCATTTCAACTTCTTTTCGAAGTACGTGATCAATATCAACGGCCGAAAAGAAACTAACAGACTGTATTACATACACGTGAAGTCATTATTTCTATTAAATTGAAAAAACATTAATAATACAGTCAACCTCTCTAAATTCATATTTTACTTGGTTCCAAGCATAGGCGCAGACATATTTTTATGACTTAGTTGCGGCTTTAATTGTTGACAACTAGGGATGCTATGCTAGTTAAGATTTAAATAAGAGGGTTTAACATACCTTCTTATATTATCATAATTAAGTGACAATAACATGTCTGCACATACTGCGTAACCCAGGGATATAGAGAAATATTAATTCCTCTTTATAAACGCGCATTTACATTAATTGTCATGTGGACACAAGAGAGATAGATTTTAGAGAGGTTTGACTATATCTCAACCTACCAATGGTAAATCCTTGATTCCCAACATGTAACTAAACATCGTTCTTGTCCACAAATTGCTGATCTGAAGTGCCAGTGCAGCTCGATACGTGTCACTTTCTTTTACAAGGAACCTTACCTCATCATGAACTGATAACATAAAACGCGCGTCTATCTTATATTTTTTCAATAAATACTGCATAGAGACCAGAAGCAAATGAAGGTAATCAACCCCTGATGATTGTATAACCCAATTAACACGTGATGTCATATAGTTTTCGTCGACTACCTTTCTTTTTAAGGCGTCAGTTATGCCACATTTAAGAATTGGTGTTCGAGGTGTCTCGGCAGTTGCAATCTCTTCGAGCCTATTAAACATATAACTTTCACTACCACCGTACCAAAATGTCTTTCTAGGAAAATCATTAGGAATAATGTTTTTAGTGAATAATTTTTTGCCTTTAGTCTGGCTATATAATTCTGTTACCCGTTCAACAGCCTCCCTTTCTTCAATGTTCTCATTAAATTGTCTAAGTAATTGTGCAGCAAATTTAAGCCCTGCACCGTATATCCTACCATAATTAAATACTTTTGCATCCGATCGCGAAATTTTTAGAATCTTTGCTGTTCTCGAATGTAAATCCGTTCCGGCAGTTTTGGTTCCTTGAAGAGTCATCCATCCCAAAGCGGTTGCGCCGTGGAAACCAAATTGTGAATCTCCGATCAAGCTGGCTATCCATAATTCTTCGGAATCGACGTCTGCCCCAATAATCTTATACCCTTTTGGAGCTTGAATTTTCGTTTTAAGTTCGGAACCGATACGACTCTCCTTCGCATTGCTTGCTGTCATCCAAGTTTTTTCTACAGCACGACGAGTGATCGTCCCCATCGTTAAAGTCTGTGGCAATATCATTCCAATGCCCTTCTCACTCTCTGATCGAAATCCCATATCTTGAATTTCAGGATGATCATCATACACAACCATCTGACCTTTTATTCGTTCTCGAGAACTAATCCAATATGAACATGTTGCATTCATTTTTAACGCTGCTTTAGCTTCTTTATATTCAGAAGTCAGAATTCCCTTTTCGAAAGCGGTTATATATTGCTTCGATAATGGAGTTGCACAGCGAGAGTCTTCACCATCCTTATGTGGAATTCGGTAATATATTCCATCCATATCATTAGCATAATGCTCTTCATGGTCTTCAGTTACAGATGCTTTCCTACTAACATCCATTTGATTTAACTCGTCTTTAACATTACATTGTAATTCACCTGTAGGAGGTAAAGGCTTATCAAATCTGCATGGTTTTGCACTTGTCCGGTACTCATCATCTTTAGGCACTCGATACATCCATCCATACTTCTTCGAATAATACAATGGATAACCTTGCCATTTTAATCTTAATAGAAGAGGTGAAATCCTGATTCTTGGTGTAATTTTTAAACTTTCTGTTCTAGAATTGTAAATATTTCGATACCATTGTGGGTATCCTTTAAGTTTTTTAGCACGTGGTGATGGTGTTGACCAATCTAATTGTTTTAACCATGGATTATCGGCTATCGACCGTGGATCATCTTTCCATGATTTTACCGCTGCCAGTGCGAGATCTTGCAAGCTTTTTTCAATGGATTTACTATGTTCTTGATATACTGATTCCGCTTTCTCAATATAGTGATCCCAATCTTTTGATGTCGTCAGGAACATATTGCCCATATTAATTATCCCGGCAAATGATACGGGATGCGGGCAAACCTCCAAAAATCGAGGAAATACTTTTTTGAACACTTTATGCGTTGCGAATACATCATCAGCACAATAAGATACCAATTTCTGAAAAATTTCTGGTTTCACAATTTCATCTAAAGAACCATTAATGAAATAGTTTCTCGAACTTTTGTCTAATTCACCTTGACAATGAAATTTATAGACATTTCGAAGGTTGTTTATTGAACTAACATCATAGATAGCTTGAAAATCTTTGGATCTTTCCAAATAATCTTCATTGTTTTCTTCAGTGGCTTTATTATACTTGATCCAGGTGGGACGCTGTTGAGTGCAGAGTCCACTTACAGCTATATGTAAAGACATGGTATCTATATAATTATTGCAAGATCTATCACGATGATATTCTTCTTTTATTCGTGCACGATCGAAACCAACATTATGTCCAATTACGACCCGATCTCTGCCTATATTCCCCATAGGAATCAGATAACCAACGTCACGTTTTTTAACAATGGGTTTGTGCTTTCCACCTTGCTCTCCGCGTTTTAATTTATCTTTTTCATCATCGCCGCTCCATTTATCTGTGTGATACGTTAACGAATTATGAATTGCGTCTCCATATTTAGTAAGCCGTGGTGAAATCCAAGCATACCATGCTTTTGGTGAAGCAGCACACGCTATTAACGCGTAATCACTGTCATCAAGTAAAGTTTCTACGTCAAAACATAAAACATCGTCTTTAGGAAAATCTATCGGTTCGGGCTGCTTGTCTTTTTCATAACGTGTCCATCCTGATTTAAATTTCCATATTTTCTCAGAGGGAATATCAGGAAGTTCTGAATTAACGAAAGCTTTTGCTAACTCCCTACAAGGACGCGCCTGTTTTTCACCGATATTCCAAAAATGTTCAGCGATCGTATTTCCACACAATTTCGGTAGCTGGAAGGGAGTCAGAGGTGGAAACGTTTCTGTCTCTTTGTCCAACAGTCCTTGTTGCTTCAAATGATTTAGTGCAATACGAATCCGTTTTTTTGATGGATGCATCCGACTATTACGCGGAAAAACTTGTTTGTAAAGCCAATTCGATAACATGGCATGGAGGACTTTCGCATTTTTCGGAAAAGCACGGGATTTTCATGCGGCAATCGACCAATATCGTTAGCACATGATATCAGATATAATGGGTAATCATTTAACTACGCAGCCGCGTAAAATAAGTCGCGTTTTAGAATAAAACTCTTTACCCAGCTAACAAGTATATAAACTTCTAGAAAATTTTTTAATAAGAGTTGCATGTTCTTTATTAAGATTTTTTAAACTTTTACATAATTAACAAAACTATACTATCATACATAATAGAACGACTTCTATTGAATTAAGAAGAATATACAACTTTCGAAAACAGTCAACTGTATAAAGTTTATAATAAAATCAAAATGTTAATTATTTAAACAATAACAGATAAGAAAAACAGAAAAAACAACGTCAAACTTTGCGAATTAAGCAGTAAAATATATTTTTATTGTCTCTTACTATAGAGTAGATAGCGACCTTTTCCAACGTGATGCAGCGCGATGTACGTAACTACCTCATAGGAAGACATTCATATGATTGGTTAATTTTTGCTGGCTGATCTACCTGTGATTACCCGTGATAATTAACCAATCAAATTACATAATTTTTTTAAAACATTTATCATTTTAATACTAGAAAACCAATAAATTACATGCAAAGAACTTATCGCATAAAGTTAGAAAACAGATAGATACGCGTAAAGTGGAATGAATGAATGTAATATTTATTATTAAATACCCAACTCATAAAAGAGTTAATACGTGAATAAATTATTAACGA